TAAGTTATTATGGATAGCAAGAAATTGAGGTATTTTAATTTGTAATAGTTGATTTGCGGCAACTAGAAATGTTTTTATATCTAAATGATGTTGATTAACTATACAGACTGTACTAATTCGATTTTCAAAGGCTGAATGAATTGGTCTCCAAACAACTCCATCTCCTAGAATTTCATCCTGAATAGCTGTTAATGGTTGTATACTTCCACCAACTTTTATAGTTTTACTTAAATTGACTTCAATAGAATTCAAATGACAAGCACAAGTTTGACACCTTTGTCGAATTGCTCTACTTAAATCAGATCGTTTCATAAATTCATTAATTGAAATTATAGCATTAACTGTTAGATTTCTCCATCTAATACAATCGTCTATATCTAAATCGTTCGAATGGTTATAAGCTTTCCATAAATTTTTAATTGTTTCTTCAAAATAGGCGATAGAAGTCATGTTGTTAGTTATCTAGTTTTATTGTCTTGTACAGTCACTTGTCTATAGTTGTATAAAGGATTATTATGATGAAAGGATGGAAAAGGTAGTGAACAGCTCTAAAAATGAACTTGTTCTCAGTTGGTAATGAATATTGATTTGTTTAACAAATCAATAAGAATTCAACTAACTACTGAGGAACTACTTGCAAATGGCGTAAGGTAAGGCAAGCTTAGCTCGCAGGCTGTCTCGAGAGACTGCGCTCTTTTGCTAGGCCAAAGCTGCTTTTAAAGGTTAAGTGAGGGCGCTGTCAGCAAACTGAGGGCGCTGCCTACAAAGTGTGGGCGCTGTAGGTAGTATGTGGAAGGGTTAGCTCAAACGAAAGAGTGGGGGTGAACCGACTGTAGCACCATCTAACTTATTAATTTAGTATTAAAGGGTTTATATATAGATCTTCAGAATAAAAATATAATCATTATTGCTTTGAGATACGATTCAGCTCACATATCATAGAGAATGATGGACTATATTTTAGATATTCAAGGCTTTCAGAGTCTCAATAATACTTTTATTTGTAAGGAGTTTGCCTATTTACCAGTATGTTCTAATACTTCACCTACAGTACTACTTTTTAAACCTCCATATCATTGGCTCAAACTGTCTATTGAATATCAAAGTGTTAATAAGTGGTTGGAATTACATCATCATGGTATTTATTTCAATTATCGTTAATTAACATTGATTTTATTTGAAATATTTAATAAAATCAATTTTATAGGTATATTATGGAGAAATGGTATTTTACCATATAATTTTTTAAATTGTACTATACGTAGTCATTTACATAATTGTAGAAATATTTATGTGAAAGGATTACAAAAGAAGCAATGGCTTAAAAAAATTATTCCTGAAAAGTAGGTTCAAATAATATACAATAGTACAAAATTCTAAATTCGAATTTAATTAGTTTTTTTTAATTACAGAAATATTTTAGATATCGAAACTGAAATGAGATGTCCGCGATTGGAAGATTTAAGTCTTAAATTTAAACCATCATGTATATATCATAGTCAGAATGGCGAGAATATAGTATGTGCTGCAGTAAATACACAAAAGATACACGATTGGGTGATGGAAAGACAAAAACAAGCAAAATCAAAAGGGATCGACACAGTCGAAAGATTTACAGATGACTATAATTCATATAAAAATTCAACTGAATATTTAAAAATAGCTATGTCAGACACTGAACATAAAGATTATAGACAAAGTGTACTTTATTCAATGTATAATTAAAAATAATAAATATTAAATAAATAATAAATGTGTGCTTATTTAAATAGTAAAATAATCATAACGATTGTAAGAAAGGGTGAATGGATGAGAATAAGGTTCTCTCCTAGCAGAGATGTTTAGGAGGAACATCTCAAGAAGGTGTCAGTCGAGCGACTGCATTCGTAGTCTCTAGCATTCTCATGAAAACAGTTCCCTTCGTGGAGAGAGCACGTGTTGACTATAGACAGCATACGCTCCCCTCCGCACATCATGGTCCACGCTTAGCTAGAGCGTAGGAGAGAGAGAGACAGAGAGAGAAAGAGAGAGAGCATACATTTAATACTGCTATAGTAGCGCACCCCCATCAGGCCAGAACTATAGACAGCATGCGCTCCCCTCCTCCTCCTCCGCACGCTCGGGCCCTATACCAAATGTATGCGTGTGTAGCTAATATACACAATATGCATCCTCTAAGGTACATGTGGCATTGGCTCTAGTGGTAGAACGCTAGCCTGCCAACCCAGAGGTCTCCGGTTCGATTCTCCGGTCTGTCTTTTCATTTTTTTCAAAAAAAAATCGTCGCTATTTTCTATATTCGTTTCATTCTCAATGTAGCAAGTAAATTATTAATAATATATATATATTTATAACTTTAAAAAAACATTTAAATTTAATTAGACTAAAAGCACTAGGTATAGGGTCCCTAGGGACTAGGAGCCCTAGGGACTAGGAGCCCTAGAAACCTTCCTCAAAAATTATAAACAATTATTAACATTAATAATAATAATAATTAACATAGAAGGGATAGAGGCCAGGGAATCAAAGGGTTAAACCAAGGGACCTCCCACGAATATTGTTAATAATAATTGTTAACAATAATAATTATTATTAACATAGCCAGGGGGTCCAAAGGGTTAAGCCCGGTGGGGTCAAAGGGTTACGGACCCCCCGCAGGTGTGCTGGAACATACATTGCTATACTACTGATACTAAAGTTATAGAATCAATCGAATTTCCATACGTTTCTTGTGTGTATCTAGTTATATGTTCAAGAATTATTTGTATTGCTGCCAATGCATGAGAATAATCATGTTTTAAGTCTTCACTAATTACAGTATAACTCTTTGTAATTCCGCCTATGTAGCAAACAGCAGTGAAAATTGAAATCTGTTTATTCACCCAATGATTCCCTTGAACTGGATTTTTCAAAATTACAGACCAATTCTCAGCAAAATCTATATGCATCAGCAAATGTTGATAATTTAACGTCACCCTTTCTTTCTCAGCTTTGATTTCCATTCGCTGTACCTATGTATTTATCGCGTTTGACTTGAAAATGTAAAACTTTTTTTTTTAATTTTTTTAAGCGATATAACGAAAAAACAGCAAATTTTGATCGAATGGATTTGAAGGTATTGGTACTAAGAATATATAAAAAAAATTTGAGCGCAAAAAATGATGGCCTTTTTGAGATACACAATTTTTTCTCCAAGATGCACTTTTTCGAAAACATGCATTTTCTCCCGAAAAATGCATACATTCATATTTTTGATAAATTAGACTTGAAGAACTTCGTTTCTACTATAGATGACATAAAAATTATTTAATTGTATCGAAAAATAAAAAAAATATTGAGGAAACCAAATTTAATTGGAAAAATTTTCTCAATTTTCCCTTTTCAGCAGTGCATTTTCCGATTGCATTATTGACGGAACTATGCATCTGAGAGAAAAAAGAAAAAATACGGGTCCTCTTATTTTTGACCTAGAACAATAAAAAAATACTTTGGAGTAGCTTGGTGACAGGTGTGTGGGGTGCTCTGCATGATCTGAGATGGAATTGGCCATATAGTATTGGTTTTATCTAGTTATATCATTTTTCATTTTCTTTATTTCAAAATACGCGCTCTGTCAAAGTTCCTTTTAATTTGTTGAGTGACCGGCTCAGCACTGAGTGACCCCTTACTGAATCTTGCCAATCTCCAGCGATGGGAATCCATTTATCCTCCGGTTACCCATCTGAAACTTCTTTTTTTTCTAATCGTTACGCATCTAGGTCTGTTATACACTTGTGGCCGTTCTTTCATTGTACAGTGTCTAAATTTCGCGTTTCAATTTCGTTGTGTTTAAATTTCGAGTGTATGAGAGTGGAAAAGTAAGGTGTTAAAAAATTTAACTCTTCTTGTCGATTATTTTCATTAATATTAACGTTTCTATTTTATATCTTTACAGTCCATCGAAGCATTAACCTTATAGGCATTAGTTTTTAAAGGAAAAATATTATTGTGAGTATTATTACTTCGTAAAAGTATTGACGGAATAATGGGTTGGACAGAGCAAATAAAGAAGACAAAGGATTCGCCAAAAAAAGAATTTTATTGAGGGAGCGCCTAAGAACACGTGCGAACGCTTACTACCCAACTAACTAAAGCTCAGAAGCAGTGTGGAGACCCAGAGTCAGCCCGCTCGTGAGAGCGGCGCGCAGGCGCAGATGCGACCGAAGTCGAAACGCTCACATACTTTGATATTTCCAACAAGTATAATTACAGTTACCTTTAATAGTAATTAATTCTACATTTTTATATCCTAATATGAGCTAAGGATAATGATAGAATTGACAATCATTGCAATAATTCACTTAGTGATTAATACTTTTAAATGCCAAGCAGTGTAGAATTTATAAAGTATGTTGAAATATGTTGGAATATTAGGATAAATCGAAACAACAAACACCTTTTAATTGAATATATATATATATATATATATATAAGTGAAACTGTACAAATGCTTTACTCTAAAGATATTACAAAATCTATTAATTATAAATTAAGTCACAAATCAAAATAGCAAAATGAACAAAAATCCAGTCGCAGAGCTCCGCGTCGTAGGAAGGGTATAGCTGGAATGGCAGCGCTAGTTAGAGCGGCAGTGCAGCAACGTGAACGTGCCGTGGTGAGCGCCCGCGCACATGCGCACAGTATTTCAAACACTCCCTCCACTGTACGCATATGCGCGTGAGCACAAGTAGCTCATTCAGACCCGTTGATTTCCGCGTCTGCAAATAATCAAAGACATTCTCGAGCATAGTCAGTTATTAATTATATTATCTCTAAGAGCTCTAAAAGAATCGAAAGGAAGAGGTTTTGTAAATATATCTGCTAAATTTTCTTTAGATGGTACCCAAATCAATTTAACTTTTCCTTCAGTTACGCACTGTTTAATGTAATCACCATGTACTTTAGACAATTTATTTTTAGTTCCTGTTTTCTCTCTATTCTCTAAACTAACAATTATTTCTTTAACTGAATCATCAAAATTCTTTAGTTTATGATTTCCTTCTTTTTGTGTGCAGCTGATTGAGGACTTATTATCGCATCTTATAATTATAGGGTACATAGTTTTTTCTAACATGTCTCTAAGAGCTTTATCTAATGAGATCATTTCTTGACATGCTTCGCTCATTGCGTAATATTCAGCATGACAGGTCGAGAGATTGATTACACTTTGTTTGTGGCTTCTCCACATAACGGAGTCTCCGAATAGTCGTGCAACCATTCCACTTGTTGAAGATGAATCAGCATTGTCTCTAAAACTTGTATCTGTAAATACTTCTAAGTTTTCAGTGACTCCTCTATATATTAGTCCTAGATCAGAACTTCCTCTAAGATATCGCATGATCCTCTTTACATCAATCCAATCCTCTATGGTGGGATTTGATTGTTTTCTAGCTAGTAAATTTACAGCAAGTGCAATGTCAGGTCTTATGACATTCGCAAGATACATTAAGCTACCTATTGCTTCCCTATAAGGAAATTCTGGTTTTCCCGGTTGTTTCGCTTTCTCCATATTTTTATTGTTTCTAGCTTTGACTTGTCTAGTTATCATCGGCGTGTTTTGTGGTTTGCTTTCATTCATATTGAATCTCTCTAATACCTTTTTCGTATATTTGCTTTGACTTAACATTATTTGTTTAGCTTCTCTGTCTCTAGTGATTTGAATACTTAAGTATTCTTTGGGTTCTCCTAATTCTTTCATTTTAAATACAGAGCTTAAGTGTCTCTTAACTTCATTAATCTTATTAGAATTATTCCCTGCTAAAAGTATATCATCTACATATAAAATAAGCAATATCATTACGCCATTCTTTCTGTATGTAAATAAACAGGGTTCATTTATATCTCTCTGTAAACCTAATTTTTCTACCTCAGTTGAAAACCTTTGATTCCATTTCTTAGGACTTATTTTCAAACTGTATATAGCTTTATGTAATTTACAAACTCTATTTTCTTTCGTGTGTTTATCTAACATTAATCCATCTGGTATTTCCATGTATATTTCTTCCTCTAGTTCGCCGTTTAAGAATGCAGTTTTCACATCCAGTTGACATACTTCAAGATCTAATTTAATGATTATAGCGAATGCAGCTCTGATTATAGACAGCCTAGATACAGGTGCATACGTTTCTCTTAGTTCGTATTCATTGGTATCTTTAAATCCTCTAACTACTAGCCTAGCTTTAAATGTTGTTTTTCCTTCTGAATCAATTTTTCTTTTAAGTACCCATCTACTGCCTATTATGTTGGCTTTATTGCCTTTCTGATTCATCGAAGATCTCTCTACTATATTCCATACATTATTTTCACGCATGGACTCTAATTCATCGTTTATTGCTTTAGACCAGTTCATTTTATCTTTAGTCTCCATAGCTTCTTTATAATTGGTTGGGTCAGAGTTTAGCGTAGCCATCAAACAATAACATTTTTCATCTTCTCCCAATACTTCGGTTTCATTATATTGAGTTATAAAGGCAAAACTGTTATCTACTAAATTAGCCTTTCCTTCTGACATGGCTTTGTAGTCTCGTTTTATCTTGCTGCTTCGTTTAGGCTGCACTCTATTATGTTTTTCTGATATGTGATCAATTATTCTTTTTCTCTTGTTGGTTTTATTTGTCTCTAATTGTTTTCCTATGGATTCTGTGTCGTTTAATTGTTCTATGCTTTCCGAGTTACCGGTATTGAATATATCCATGGTCTCCTCTGGTGTTTCTTTATCATTGTCATTTGGAATAGAGTTTGAATCCTTATTACATTCTCTAGTAATTTCTTCATGTTCATCAATATTTTTATAAGTTAATTTTTCCCGGAATTTCACATGTTTAGTTAGAATTAATTTTCCGGACTGAGGATGCCATAGTATATATCCATTACTGGTTTGTCCTACTAAAATTCCTTTTATAGCATTTTCGGATAATTTGTTTTCAGATAATGGTTTCTTTGCATAAGCTATACATCCAAAACGCCTGATCTTTTCTAAATGATTTTTCTTATTAGGGGATATCGTATTCAAAGGAGTTTTGAATTCTATAGACGAATTTGGAGTTATTATATTCATCTACATGTCTATTATATACATCTACAGCTACTTCCAGGGCTAAGTTCCATAAAGATTTTGGTAGTCCTGAATCTATCATTAAGGATCTTAATTTTTCTAATATAGTTCTGTTGAATCTTTCAGCAGTACCATTATGGGGAGGTGTATATGGATTCGAAAAAATTGACTCTAAATTTTCCTTTTTCATGACTTCTAGAAATTCTCCTCCTGTAAATTCCCTAGCGTTATCTGCTCTTATGTAGCAAGCTCTCAAATTCTTACCTGTCAGATTCCTCATGGAATTTAAATAGTTTTCTAAGCATTCTCCTGCTTCAGATTTGTTTGATATTGCATACGTTTTGGCAAATTTCGAAAAGTCGTCTATGAAAGCTATTATATATTTCTTTCGACCAGGATAAGTAATTGTTTTAAATGGACCTATTATATCGGTGTGAGTTAGTTGAAGTGGATGATCGGCTCTAGTTCTTATTTCTTTAAAAGGTTGTTTACTCATTTTGGACATTGTGCAAACTTCACAGTTCTTAATATTTTCATTAAATTTTACATTGCTAAGTTCTTTATTTATCTTTTGCAATTTTAGTAGGTAATCATATGATGGGTGTCCTAGTCTTACATGCCACAACATCCCTTCATCTAACTCCTCTGAATATCTTTTCTCGAGTTCGAAAGAAGTGAATAGATCATCCATTGGTTTTTCGTTTTTAAGGTCATCTAGTGAATAATTTTCGAAGTCTCTGTATTGGCTAAGTTTAGGTATAGATTCATTTGTAACTAACTCCCTCCCAACTTCTGAATCTATGTCTTTATTGTTTTCTGTTTCTACATTTTGTGGATCTTTTGAAATATTTTCTAGCGTTATTAATCGTGCTCTACAATAATATTTATTGTATGTTTGTCTATCCGAGTTCTCTATTTTATTCTTTACTTCTAATTGTATAAGCCAGTTTGGTTTCTTATAGTACCCGGTTAGAAAAGTAGATCCGTCATTTTTATCGAATATTTTTAAATTTTTGTCATCTAGATATATACTAAATCCAGCATCGACAAATTTCCTAAGGGATATTAGATTTTCGGATATATCAGGGGCTGCTATAACATTGGATAGTCTAATGGTATGACCTTCATTATTTAAACTCTTTAGATATAAATCTCCTTTTCCGTCTATCTCGATATCAGCCGATTTGTTTTTGTTCGCACTTTTAATATAAGTTCCTGAACTTTTCTTAAAGTTTCGCAAGATGAAAGCTTTATTTTTAATATGTTCTGTGGCTCCGGAATCTAATAGGAAGGTTATTTTATTGTTTATTGTATCAATGTTATTCTTACCTTCAGTAAGTGCTACTACAGCGTTCGCCAGTTTCTGTTTATTTTTGTCTCCACATGGGTAGTAGGTTCTGCTTGCGCCACGTTTGCCTACTCTACCGTTATTGCGACCTCTAGGGTTACGATTTTTGTTATCTCTATTATTATCGTAATAACCTTTGCCTCTTTTACTATTGCCGTTACCTCTATTATATTTTCCCCTGTTACCTCTGTAATTAACTCTTCCTTTTGATTCTTTTGACTCTCTATTGTTATTATTATATTTTCCCCTGTTACCTCTGTAATTAACTCTTCCTTTTGATTCTTTTGACTCTCTATTGTTATTATTATTATTTGCAACATACTCTCCACCACGGTGCGACCCGTCTCCACGTGGACAGGTTCTGCCCGTGTGATGGGCAAAGTCTCTGCATATATAGCAGAACCACAGCCCGTACTGGATCAGCGGGCAAGAGTCAGAGACGTGATCGACATTGAATCGATCACATCTAAAACACTTGCCCCCACCGCTGGGACCAGCACCGGCCGTGGCTGCAGCACCCGGTCTAGCCACGTTAGCGGAGGCTCCCTTCGCAACGCCGGAACTTCGCAGATCGGCTTCGAGCTGTCGGATGAAATTTTTCATTTCTTCAAAGTTCATTCCTCTACCTTTGGTCTGTTTCGTAATTATATCCATTTCTCTGATCCGTGGATATGTATCTTTCACAGCTTTCATAAAGGCAGACGTTTTCTCTGCGTCAGTGAGAGGAATGGCTATATCGCATAGTTCATATTCTCTAATAATTGAATCAAATTTATCTATGAATACTGAAACTTTATCCTGTTTATTTATTTTAATACTGTACAGCTCCTCTCTCACTTTAGCATCGTCTGTGTTTGCCTCTATTCTTCTGTGTTCTCTGATTTTCGTTAATATTTCTTTAGGGTCATTTATGTTAAGAATTATTTTGTGATAGTTTTCATCTAGATGATTTATTATAATGTCTCTAACTAATCTATTTCTTTTATCAACTTCGTCAACATCGAAGATTCTTTTGGGTCTAGTGTTTGAATCTATGACATCTAATAATTCTTTTGCCGATAGTTCAGAGTTCAATCGATCCAACCATACATTTATATTAGCCTTGGACGTAAGGGTATAATCCCTTTTAAAAGATGCTTTGGATGTGGAGTTAGTACTCTCTATTGTTTTGGCTAATGCACCAAAGGTCTGGTTTATTTGGTTACTAATATCGGTAGTAAGGTTGTTTCGGTTGATCTCTGGATACGTTGCATCAGGGTTAGTTACAATGTCTCGATCAGTTAATTCAGGAGCTCTAGTGTTATTATTATTAGATGTTGCATCGATATCAGGGTCTAAAATTCTTTCGATGGAAAACGGATGGTTTCCACCACTTGATAAGGGCGAGGAGGTTATCACGCTGGTATTAGTACGGGCGTCTTTATGTTTTGATCCTACCGTAAGTTTTTGGATCTCGAGTCGCTTTGACTCGAGTGAGGCGTCCATTATAAGTCTGGCTTCTTTGATGGCCTCGTTGATTTGAGGCCAGGCTTTGGCCTGTAGCTCGGCCACCTTTTCAGCGGAGGCCATTATGGACTCGAGTCGGATGGCGAGGACAGCGTTGGGATCTTCCCTGGGCGGTGCGCAGGCCGAGCCAGCCCTTTGAGGAGGTCGAACGGGCACTATCATGCGGGGGTTATGAGTCCTCGCACTGGTTGTTGCGGTGGGTCGTAAGGAGTTCGATGGGACGACGAACTCGGGGCCTCGGTCGTCTGTTGTCGTATCGGAAGCGGATGATGCAGGGGTTGACGACAATGCGTCACTAGTAACAGTTGAGGGTGCTAAGGAACAATATCTCCATTTAAACATTCGGTACTTAACTCTGATTAATCGCGGATCCGCACTCTATTACTCTAGGATTGTTCGATAGCTATCCAAGCTCTAGAAATTATCATATTTGTTAATATTTATGTATATACCTGTCTCATCCGCCTCCGTCTCCTGACCGACGACGCGGTCCCCCTCCATTTCCTCCCCCATCTCCTAATTAGCCTCGCTGTTCATCTATAAATAAAAATTGACCGAATGTTTCTTCTAACTGTTTATAAAAAGAGGCGGGCTAACAATAGGCTTTCCCCTTATATCTGTCGGGTACATCCGGCAAATATAGCTAGAAAGCCAACAGTTAATTGCCCAATAAACTGGTACTGCTCCCGTGATCCCTCCTTTTCTATTGACCATACATAGTGCAAATTACTGGGGAGGGGCGATCGCTCACGTTTACAACACCAGGCTCATCACGCAATTAACCGTTAAAGTCGCAAGAGGTGTTGACTATACGGAGTGCAACAACCTCGACTTTATCAGGAGATATCACGAAATATGTATACAAATTTTTGGCTCTTAATATCTCTAAAACAGTAAACTATTCTTCTAAGAATTTAAACTAATTTTAAAAATTATAATTTGCAAGTACATACATGTCGTAAATTTACTCTAGAGTTCCAGCCCTCTCTTATTAATTCGCTCTAATATATTATGCCGTTTCTTTTCTAATGACTGCGCGCTCGATATTTTTATTAGTCTACGGCTGACTGAGTGATAAATAAAAAAAATAAGAAATATTTGTTCTTCGAATACTTTGCGTACTCGGAATGCGACACTTTCCGTGTGCTTATTAGCTCACTTTGCTTTTATTTGTTATTTATAGCGAGCTCGTGTTGCTCAGGTGAAGTCTTTTCAGCTCACATTAATAATTTTTAACATACCTCTATGATTTATAATTTTTGCTGCGCAGTGGAAGCGTGGCAGGGCCGATAACCTGTTGGAATATTAGGATAAATCGAAACAACAAACACCTTTTAATTGAATATATATATATATATATATATATATATATATATATATATATTATATAATATATATATATATTATATATTATATATATTATATATATATATATATAAGTGAAACTGTACAAATGCTTTACTCTAAAGATATTACAAACTCTATTAATTATAAATAAAGTCACAAATCAAAATAGCAAAATGAACAAAAATCCAGTCGCAGAGCTCCGCGTCGTAGAAAGGGTATAGCTGGAATGGCAGCGCTAGTTAGAGCGGCAGTGCAGCAACGTGAACGTGCCGTGGTGAGCGTCCGCGCACATGCGCACAGTATTTCAAACAAAATAATTGTTATAAAACACAATTTTAATATTTTGATCCTTTTATAGATATTTCTTAAAGAAATATATAGTAGTAAATACCTATATTTTGAATGAATAATATGAATTAATTTTTTAAATTTATTTTTTAAATGTTCTTGATATATTTTAGAGAGTCATAGAAATTTTTTTTCAATCTCCACTTGACTGCAGTTCAGAAAGTTGATCAAGATAACAATGTTCAAGAATTAGAATCCAGATGCTTATTTAGTGAAAGATGGCAAATCTCTTCTCATAAGTATTGAATACTCACTAGAATAGCCTCAAAGAGACATTCACTCTGTTTTACCTACTGGTACAAACACCTTAGCTAAAGTAAAATCATGTCATTTCTCAAGTTTCTTGTTGCGACATGATAAAACTGGCACAGACAAGGTCGGCATAAGGACACCGCCAATTTGCATGTCTTTATTGCTAACTCTGTGAGTAGTATAGCAATGTATGTTTCACCTCACTCTACGGGGGGTCCATAACACTTTGGCCCCCTGGCTTAACACTTTCATGTTAATAATAATGATTATTGTTAATAATTATTATTAACAATATTTGTAGGGGTCCCTGGTTTAACCCTTTGGTTCCCTGGCCTAACCCTTCCATTTAATTGTTATTAATGTTATAATAATTATTTATAATTTTTTGAGGAAGGGTTTTATATTGAAGAAGGTTCCTAGGGCTCCTGATCCCTAGGGACCCTACCTATTGCTTTGTGTCTAATTTAATTAAATGTATTTTGAAATACATGAAGTTATAAATATTATTGATAATTTACTTACTAAATTGAAAATGAATGAAGAGAAATGAAATGAATAGAAAGCGACGATTGAAAAAAATGAAGAGATAGATCAGAGAATCGAACCGGCGTTCTCTGGGTTGGCAGGCTAGCGCTCAACCACTAGAGCCAATGCCACATGTACCTTAGAGGACGCTTATTGTATATATTAGCTACACGCGCATACATTTGGTATAGGGCCCGAGCGTGCGGAGAAGGGGAGCGCATGCTGTCTATAGTTCTAACTTGAGGATGACATGCTATAGTAGTAAATGTGTACTCTCTCTCTCTTCCGCTTTAACTAAGCGTGAACCACGGTGCGCAGAGGCGAGCGTATGCTGTCTATAGTTCAAGCTTGGGATGCGATGCTATAGTAGTAAATGTATGCTTTTACTTTCTCTCTCTCTCTCCCTCTCTCTCTCTTTCTTAGCGCGGCTTGGGACCATACTCTCATAGATGAGATATTTTAATTCTCTTCATGGAGGAGAACTTTATTTGCTTGAATCCTCGCTAATCCTTGCCTGCTATCCTAGTCATTTTCACTTAAAACAGAAAACATTATTAGAATTTGTCACTTTTTGGAAAATGTAAGTACAATTTTTAAATAATTTAAAAATAATTTAAATAAATTTTAGAATTTTTTTTCATAATAGCGTTATTTAATAAATTTCAGCTTACCAATCCCACCGTCCACACCGTAGCACGAGAGCCGTTATATCGGCTATTAATTGTAATATTAATAACTGTCAGTATTTTTCTCATTATATAAATATATATATATGTTTATTTATTTATTTTTATATAATTTTCAGTTACAAATATTTGTAGACGGCAACAGTTCTCAAGCCCTACAAATACAGCAAATAAAGGTAATAGTTCAACAAGTAAGTATTTCAATTATTGATTTATATAAAATTATATCAATTTATATTTTTATTATTATTTAATTGCCTTTTCCTTTTTTTTCTTTTCAGTGGATCAAGGAATTAATAGCAGCCAGAATGTTAATGCAGCAAGTGGCATATCAAATTGATAAGGTCGTCAACGATCGCGTGAAAGCGCAGTTACATCAACGTAAACGAGCGGATGCTATGAGGATGCAGCAAGAATCCGCTCGATTGGAGCGGAAATGAAAAGCAGACTGAGCCAAGGTAGAGCAAGATGAACTTGCTGAGAAAGTTAAACGAAGGCTTTCCAGCATAAATACATCAGCTGGACCATCATCAACCCCCATTATGATGGATCATGATGAACCATCTTCGATGACGTCAACATCATCATCAGTGTCGGTAACATTATCGTCATCGTTGTTATCATCAGCAACGTCAACGTCATCACCAGCAACGTCATCGTCATCATCAACAGCAACGTCGTCGTCGTCATCAACAGCAACATCCACAGGCTGTCAAAGAGAAGAAGCACAAGTCGATGTGCCACTCGATTTGACTGCTATTGTAAGTACTTAAATTATAGAAATAAGTAAATGATTAATAAATATAAATTAAAAATTATAATTCAAATTTTTTTTTTACAAAGAAATATTCCGATGGTAAAGAATGTCGAGTATGTTCAACGAAAAGTTATATTCATTCAGGCCCAACCAACGGTCAGGAAACCTACTCGCCCCTCGAAGGTCGTCGGATCAAAAAAATTAAAACAATAATATAAAAAAGAAAAAAAAACTTGGTAAAATTTGTAAAATTTATAAAAAAAAACTAATAAAATAAACTAAATAAAAAAATAAATAATGCGTTAATTTACTTTTGCGAGTACACGTGCGATGTATATATTACGTAGCATACAGTGTAGAGCCCTATAGAGCTTACGTGTAGATATAATTAGCTTGGAGAGGAAATGGAGAACAGTAGTTTGCTACTATACTAGAGATGTCAACTCAAGCGAAGAAGAGTGGGAGAGAGCATGCGTTTACTACTATAGTAACGCATCCCCAAGCTAGAACTATAGACAGTATGCGCACTATGTTTCACGCTGAGCCAGAGCTAGAAAGAGAGAGAGTTCCATATGCTGTTATGATTAGGTATTAAGTAAGGACATATATTTAAAATTAAATACTTTTGTTAATAAAATATAACTTGATGTATAGTATGTTATACATTTTAATTTGTTTAGCTTATATTTAATTGTATTAATTACATTTTATTTAGAGAGTATATTAACTATATTAAACTAATTTCTTTACATTACCGATTATAGGATTATATTGTACAATTCGATCGTGTAGAATTAAATAATAGGCTGCAGTATTATCAGGAAAATCTTCTCTCATGTCAAACTCTAGGCTGACGTCTACATGAACACTTTTGATAGATTCATTTTGTTTCGAACAATCTATCACGATTAACGGTAATTTTTCAATGAAATTTATTTTATTAAGCAATGGTTCATTTTCTTTTCCATAATATGCGCTTTAAAAGTTAACGTACAAAATTAAGATTTCTATATGGATAGCATTGAGAGTTTAGAAATAATTTAACATCACAAATGTTACAATGGTCAAAGTGACTAGCAGAAGCAGCTACTTTATTTTTTCGTTGTGTTTGAAAGGCTAAATTAATGAAACGAGGTTTTTCCAATTGATTGGGTGTCTTCACACTCCAAACATGTTTAGATGTCCGAGGTAATTTTGTATACTCGTATGACTCCCAAGTGCGATAACTCATAGTGATCACTCTATCACGACTAATTTGATTAAGTAATTTGATTATATCTCTATCAGCTGCTACTACATATGGCATTAACCATTCAAATTTATTTAGAGTAATTTTAATTTTTTCATAAGTAATTACTTCATTTTTATCGGTAAGTAAGGTTATGGTAGTATTCAAATCATTTTTCGATATTGTAATCATAAGCTCATGTTTAACATTTACTACAATTTTTCGATAATCTTCAGCAAATCTAATCAGCATAATGAGGGGTAAAGTAACATCGAAATAACCTTCGTCATTTATAAGTGATACTTCTTTGTCACTAGTCCAACTAGCATTTTCAGCTATTAAACTTTGACTCGGATTGAGTGATAGCGAGTTCCTCCTAAGACTTGTCAAGCCAACATTTTTTACTTTATCTATTTCAATAGTATTTATCTCGTATCGTATCTCCTTGAACAAATGACATATAGTATTATTAACTAACTTATTGTTAGTTTTATCTTCTACATTTCCATTTTCCTGAGTTAATCTATCGCAAACATGAATCATACTGCAAGATGGAAGTGTGGATAGATCTTGGTGCTAAATTAAGATAGGAACTTCATCATTATTATTGAAATGTGATAATGAATAAGATTGATGCGCATGAACTTCGTAATGAACTATTGACTCATCGAAAGCGACACCTGAATGAATATTTAGAATTTCGTCCATTTTGCTGTAAGCAATACACTAATATATACGATACTTTACGTCAGCTGATGTATTTTCTATTACTTTTAGTCCTAGACTTTTCAGAAACTGAATGTTCTGACGTGTGAGCACTACGATAGCACTCAGTCGACTGATCGCTGATTGACATTGCAGTCTATTCATATATCCTCGTCCAATTTCATTGTTATTAAATATTATTCCCATCACGATATTGCTTTGATGTGAACATACGTACAGTGATAACTTCCCTTCGAAAATTAAGTAGGTTTCCGTCTTGATCAACAATACGTATTTCTAAATGATCAATTCTTCTCACGGCGACTGGTAAATAAATTATATATGATGGTACTTCAATGATTTTATATCCTGATGGTAATGCTAGAAAAAATTAATGTATAGTATGCAATTTTCGTTCGTTTATATAAAAACCTGTAGTAATATTACACTCTACGTTTAAAGCGTTCACTTTGAGTATAGTTACAGGTTAATCAGAGTTGTTACGTCTCACGTAACGGCCGCGAATTGACAAGAATTACTCAAACGCGACTGTCTCTTTTCGGTCAACACGTAAGCGCTTTACCACGGATGCGAGACTCAAACGAAAGCAGGGCGGCAACATATCTAAAGTACCGAGTGAATAAGGTATAATTAAATAATTTACCTGCAGTTTAACTGGTCCAGAAACTCGTACCTCAGAACCCAGAGATAAACGTGGATTAGGTATAACTCTCAAATAAGTTATTATAGAAATCGATTTATAATATTTATTGATCGAATTACAGAAGGTGCGTAGTGTCACAGAGTAGAATACAGAATCTCTGTAACAATTTTTTTTGCGTTCTTTTTTATAGCACAAAATACATAAAAACTAATCGATAAAGGGTTAATCCCAGAAAGGGTAAGTGCGTCACTGAGATTAAAGTCAGCTATTAACTGACTATTATTTTAATTACGGGAACTCCCCTTCCATAAAAAATTCAAATTATACCGCCATAAAATAGTCTGACTCTTCCTCGACGTAACACGCCCGCCCCTGAAGACCAGTAACGCAGGGTGCTCGCAAGTTGCACCTGTCTCTTTGAAATTGCGTACGTCAAGATAATATACTTAAACTTTACACATAATGAGTTACAATAAGCACTACGTACTAAATACCCAGTAATTTTACATATATATATGTTTGAATGAGAAAAACTTCGAAGCATTATAAAGTCTCTAATTTTCAAAAGGCAAGAAACCACCACTCTACACTACATTTAATCTGCTTAGAAATATTTCTTCTCCTATGGTGCCAAGTTTACATATACGGCATTTTTCTCCGGGTTGACGGGCATTCTGATGGGCGGTTGACCAGCACTCCCAACAGATGAGGGAGATATTCTTCGATCCATGGGTTAAATATTTTAAAAAACACAGCTTACAAAAACGTAACACAAGTAGAGGTCCAGAGCACTGTACACAGTTATTAAAAGTTAATAAGTCCGCAAAACCCACACCTCCATAAGGCAGATGTACAAATTCGACGTATATTCTTCCGCGTTCGATCCTTTCTCCATGAAAATATGCTACAATATAATCTATCCATACCTGCATATCTTCTCTCGTATCTTCATTCATCCGGTGGTCGAGGAACATACTCTACATATTGCAACTGGTCGTTTTCGTATCTTATCTGCCACCTTTTCATAATGATTTGAAGTTGCTTATTCGTGATATCCGGTCCGGGTACTAGCGGTAGAATTAGGTCGTATCCCATCATACGAGCGCAATCCCCGATGCCTTTCGGTTGTCTTCGCAGCTGTCATAGCAAATCTGGCGTAAAACTTAGGCCTGATTTGTTGGGTTACCCGCTCTGGATGGTCGTCCCATTTTCATTGCTTCGCCGTGCAGTAACGACAATTACGTACTGCTAATAATGGCACTTGACACACTGCACAATATGAGGCGTGTTAAAAAAATACCCGGAATTTTTAAATTTCGCGGGTCTGGAGAGTCCGATTGTCAAAATTTTTTTTATTGTGTTGGTATACATGCCCCTGAAGTATGATAAAATTTTCAGCTATATTCACTGTTTACTTTGTTTGCGGTAGTCGCTAAAGTTTGACATGTTTTTATGAGCTCGGCGATTTTCGTTTTTTAAAAGAAATGGATCAAAGAATTAGTATTAAATTTTGCGTAAAAAATGAAATAAAGTGTAACAAAGTGTATGAAATGTTACAAAAAGCCTATGGTGAGTCTGCTATGAAAAAAAACAGGTGTTTACCAGTGGTATAAGCGTTTCCAAAATGGCCGCGAAGACGTTGAAGATGACGAACGCTCCGGTCGACCCAGCACGTCAACAATCGATGAAAATGTGAAAAAAGTGGAAAAAATGGTTCTGAATGATCGCCGAATCACAATTAGAGAAGTTGCTGATGAAGTTGGCATATCAATTGGCTCATGTCATAACATTTTTTCAAATGTTTTGGGCATGAAACGGGTGGCAGCAAAATTCATTCCAAAACTGCTGAACTTTGATCAAAAAAACAATCGCATGAACATCGCTCAGGAGCTGTTAAACGACGTTAACGACGATCCAAGTTTGCTTGAAAGGGTCATAACTGGTGATGAAACGTGCGTGTATGGTTATGATGTCGAAACCAAAGCACAATCGTCCACCTGGAAGCATTCAACGTCACCAAGAGCGAAAAAAGCACGTCAAGTTCGATCAAATGTGAAGGTTTTGCTTACAGTTTTCTTTGACTGCAGGGGCGTGGTGCATCATGAGTTCTTATCACAAGGTCGTACGGTTAATAAGGAGTATTACCTTGAAGTTATGCGACGTTTGCGTGAAGCAATCCGAAAAAACGCCCCGATTTATGGAAAAACAATTCATGGCTTTTGCATCACGATAACGCACCTGCTCACTCGTCGTTGCTTGTTCGTAATTTTTTGGCCAAAAACATTACCGTAGTCGTGCCCCAACCTCCATATTCACCAGATATGGCTCTGTGACGAGAGCAGGCCGTGTGCCGGTCTCTCGTCTGTGTTTCTCCCTCCTCCACTCGGCAAAGCGTGTTGGCAAACGTTGGGCGCATTAAAGTATGCATCTAACACTTGGTTTTTTTGTTTCAGCGCCAAGGACGGGCCAGCGCAGTTGAGCGCAAGAAAAAGTTGAGGAGCGCGAAGAGAGAGTGAGAAAGAGAGAGAGAGAGAGAGAGAGAGAGAGTACTAGGCCCATGCAGGGATAGGCAGGCGCGCAACGCGTGACCGATAAGCGGTGCGTCGTGTGCCGCCTAACTAATAGGTCAAGGTAGGGAGAGGAGCGAGCGCCGCTGAGCGGCTGCAAGACGAGCGCAAGAATAAGTGCGTGAGGGAGTCGAAGCCTAGTCCTACTAGAGTGCAGAAGTCCAAGCCCAGTACTGCTAGAGTGCAGAGAGTGTAGTTTGGGATAGCTGGAAGGAAGGTCAACCCTACCGGCAACAGCTTTGTCTGCGACAGCAGCCAGCCCCACCTGCAAGGAGAGTCAACGTCGCCTGCGGATACCTGGTCAGCGATAGTAGCCAGCAGCTAGCAACGACCTGACCAGCAACGACGACCGGTACTTCCTGCGGCAGCGAATCGCTCAGGATTCTCGACGTAGCGAGGAGCAGTGAACAAAGGTTAAGCCTTCTTTTCTTCTTTCTCTCTACACTCTCTCTCGCTCTCTCTCTGGTGATACGACGACCGGTGCGCGTTGAGTAGGATAACCAGGCATTCACGTGCCGGCTATCTAAAAGTTCGCGCTTAAGTTTAATTTATAGTAGTGTAAGTTGCGGTCGGCGAATTGTCTAGGCGCCCACGTGCCGGGCAATTTACCCGGTATTGGTTCGCGTAGTTTTAAGTAAGTTTGTAATAGGTTAAGTGCGCGATTAGGTATTAGGATGGAATGCGAAATATTTATTTGTGATTATTATAAGTAGTTTACTGTTCTATTTTGTAGTTAGTTGGTTAATAATTAGACTATGTTATGCGCGCGTATGTTTAGTTTGAATAATGATTAATAATAATAGGTTGTAAGTTTAAATTGATTCATGTCATTGTATAACTTATTTATAACCATCCTCTCATTTCTCCCTCAATTACCTTGAGCGAAAGAGCCTCACTTACCCCGCAAAATAATTGGTGACAAAGGAAGACTGGATCTTTGTCACATGGCATCCCTTGTGAGTCTGGCAATTGAGAGACAAGTGAGAAAAATGGTTTGATGGTAAATTTTTGAAATAACGGTTGACTGATTTTCTTTGTGAACTAAGGGCAGAGAGTGCGCGTAAAAGAATTTCGAGTTTCGGTATTTTGAATTCTTTGTTAGTGCTTGCCAGTGACCTTTCTTAGTAGCGGTGTCGGATGACAACGGTGCGTCATTGAGTCGCTTTGACGCTAGACGACTGCGTTCTTTCCTCGCTTTTGTTTTTCTTTGTTTTAAGAATTTTACTAAATTGCCTATTCAAAAATTACGGTAAGTAAATTTTGATAAATTATAATTTCTCTCTATAGGCGTAAGCAAGGCGATTTCTTGCCGGCTTATAGCTTGGAAAGAAATTAGTCAGTAAAGTATCAGGTTACACGGACCGGTCGAGACTTGCTTAGCCCCCATTCGCTCGCGTCGTAGTCATTTTACGGATTTTTGTTTTTAGAAATAACAATGTCGCTAGCGTGTAGAGATAAAATAGTCTTGCGCAGAATATTACGCGATGCGCATGCGAAAAAACTAAAACGCAAAATTGATTCCACAGAACCGGCTGTTCTGTTGGAATTAATGCGCTATCGCGAACTTAGCTTACACGGTGATCTTGAGGAGTTACAAACCCGGTATT